ATGCTCTCCTAACCGCTGGTGCACTCTCCGACGACACCCTGCCCCCTCCAGTACGATCCAGGGATACGACCACCAGACCGAAAGCAGCCTCGAAACCTGACCAGGCGGAAGGCGCGGACAAGAAGGAAGAAGATGAGCCCCATGAGCAAAAGGGTGCCCTGGTCATCAGCCTTTTGACCATCGGGGCCATCCCCGAAGCTCTCTTCCTGATCGGCCGCTGGCCCTGGCTGCTACAAGGCTACACCGACATCACAAGCCGGGTGAACAGGATCTTGGAGTATTCCATCGACAAACTCTACCAAGCAACCCGACCCACCACAACATCCTCCATGGCGTGCCCCCCGAAGAAGGTGGCCGATTCGGACCAGAGCGGCGTCACAAAAGGTTCAGTCCGGCGATCCGAAATCCCCATTCGAAAATCTATGCGATGGCCATGGCCAGATGGCCGCCTCGGCGTCAGTGATCAGCACTACAGGTTCTACTGGGACGAATGGTCCGACAACGTTCCAGTCTGCCAAACAGTCGACGACGTATTCACCCTTTCCTCGTCGCTTCTCAACATTGCAGGCGTCAACATTGGCAAAAGCGAGCAGCTCCTTGTCATGTTGGCGAGCATTGGACAGAAGAGCCTGGCAGAGGATCAGTCGAAACACAACCTGGACCGGTGGCAGGACCTCCTCCGCCGTATCCTGGTGCCTGCTCTGAGCACGTCAAAGGGTGCTCCCGCGACAGCCAACCTTGTCTGGTCTCTGCTGAAACAGTACCCTATTGCTACTCGGTATAGCATCTACGCAGACTGGTTCGAAGGGGCCCCCAACCGAGGCTCGGAAGTACGTCGAGCTGCCATGGTCAAGGCCTTTGCCGACACGAAGTCTAAGGCACAAGGTGTCATGAAACGTATCTCTAAGGATAATGCTGTGGAGATGGGAAGAGCCCTCGCAAAACTTACGCATTCCTCTCCCGGCATTGTTTTCAAGGTCGCACTCGAGCTAATGATGTCTTACGGCAATCTGAGCGACGTCTTCGCAGAGTGTGTTCGCTTCTTCACCGACTTAACCAAGGACGTGATGATCTGGTCGCTGCTGTCTGCCCTCGGCAGCAATCAGCGGAGTCGTACACAGGCATCCTACATCCTGTCCATCAGTCCATGGCTGCTTGAGCTGTCGAAGCTCACGGGCAAGCTCTTCAAGCGTTATCGAGAGCTGGATGCGACACCCATCCTTCGCTATGTGCATGACCAGCTGCTACATGGTAACTCGACAGATTTGATCATCCTCTCGGAGTTGGTTGATGCAATGGGCGGTATCGTCAACACAGCCGATATCGGATATGACGAAGTCATCGCCATGTCCGGCATGGCCTTGCTTCAGCGACGAACGCTGATCAGCCTTCAAGATCGTCGCTTTGAACCAGCTGTCATTGCGAGCGCGAAACGCCTGACGCATGCCCTTGTTGACTCTCGCCTAGCTGGACGTCTGCTAGTTAACATCGCCCAGTTCAGACAGTCTGCTACTTTCAGACTCTCGGACGACGGCGCGCATGTCAAATACCTTTCGTCACTTATGGACAACAGTCACCAGATCCTGGTTCAGTATCTTGATCTCTTGCGCGCGAACCTTGAACCTGCCGAATTTGACCGACTCGTGCCCAGCATCAGCCAACTCATGGCAGAATTCGGTCTCGACGCTAGCTTCGCCTTCTCCATTGGCCGCGAGAGTCTTGCTGCTCAAATCTTCTCCAAACCAACAACCGCGCCAAAACAAAGTTCGCAATCAGCGCCAGATGCTGAAGGCGATGTGTCCATGGGCGATGATGCGATAGCCACCGAGCCTGCCTCGGACACCACGAAATCCGAGACACCCGCTCCGGAAGCGCCAGGGGAAGCTCATGTTACTGCGGCCACTAGTTTTGATGCATTGAATCCCATTGTCGAATCCCTTCGCTCAACAACACCAGAAAGCGCCTGGCAAAAGATCAGTATTGAATTCTTTGCCATTTTCTGGGCCCTTCAGCTCGGTGATCTTGGGGTTCCTTGGGCACCTTACCATGCTCAGCAAGCTCGTCTGCAAGAACAGTACCGGCAAGTCACGAAAGATCGCAAGCTTTTGCAAGCCCAGAAGAGTGCAAAACAAAAGGAACTGAAGGACACCATGGACACTTTCATTAAGGAAAGCACCCAACAGTCCGAGAGAGTCGCCAAGGCAAAGGTCCTCATCACCAAGCGTATGGACACCTGGTTCATGGGTGAGCCGCTGAAACCTAACGGTGTTTCTGATGCCATCCTCGAACGATGTCTCCTTCCTCGCATCATTCTCTCCAAGATCGATTCCGAGTACTCTTTTGCCCTCATCAAGTACATCCATGAACTTTCGTGCCCTAACTTCCGTCTCATGGCGCTGTACGACCGCCTCTTCAAGGCCAACAGGCTGCGCGGCATGCTCTTCACTTGCACTGTACAGGAGGGCGTGTACCTGGGTCACTTCTTCCACCTCATACTGCGCGAGCTCAACAAATGGCACAAGTCCAGCGCCGACTACGAAAAGGAGGCCATTGGCAAGAGCAAGAGGTCTGGTGGCTACCTTGGGTTTGCGACTGCATTCGATGACGAAGGTCATCCGACATCCCACCTCGACCACGCAGAGTTCCAGGACGTGCTATATGGGTGGCACAAAAACATCAACTTGGCCCTCAAGGCCTGTCTTTCTGGCACCGAATGGACTCACATCCGCAACGCCATCTCATTCTTAACCGAGGCCCACGAGGACTTCCCCGCGGTCACGTTCATGGGCACCCAACTCCAGAGCCAGCTTAAGACTATCGTGACACGCGAAAAGAATCTCAGAGGCGATCTGTGGCTTACGGCACAGCGCGTCCTGGGCAACATGGCTAAGATGGAAAAGACTTGGATTGCACCGCAAGCCTTCCGGACAAACTTGGTATGCACGATCCCAACAAACTCTACTACCGCGGCCACCACTAACCTTTTGGCGATACAGTCCACGCAAAGCGCTGCTCAAGGCAATGAGGACGAGCAAGCATCCAGCTCAGGCGGTAGTCTCCGAGCCACTGCACCAGAGTTTCGACCCTCGTAAGTTCAGCGCACATACCCAAGGAAATTCCGACATTTCTGACGATTTCATCAGACCTCAGAACGAGGACGGCGAAGTGCAGGATGGAAAAGCTTCTTTTCCGCAGCGTTCGACGTCGACTCGAAGGGATGCCAAAGGTACTCCTCAGTCTAATCAGAGGGATTCTCCCCGGCTACCGGTTTCCACGCCGAGTGGCCCGAAGCCCATGCATGGCGCGTTATCTCACAACCGGTCATCTACACCGAACCCATCGGAGACGCTGCCTCATGCTCCGGGTTCATCGAACAGGGATCCAAGACACCCGAATATGCCATCAAGCCGAAACGCGTCCAGTCTTCCCCGCGGACCAGGTCTTCCACAGCGACCCCCTGGCCCTATCCCAGAACACCAGCCATTGAATCGCTTTACACCAGCAGGACCTAATGATCGCCGAGATGTCAGGGACCATAGAGACCCCCGCGCGCCCAGAGACAGCCGAGATGCCCGCGAATCCCGAGACCAACGCGACACCAGAGACTCCAAGGAGCCCAAGGGTGGAGACGTTTCTCGACAAGAAAATAGCCGTGAGAACTCAAGACCTGAGCGCCGTGGCCCAGATGTACCTTCGAGAGATAGTGGTCGGCTGTCCGAAGGCGATCGACCCCCTCGCCGCGACCATCTTCAAAGCGGTCGAGAAGCCGAAACGCCGAAGGATAGGTTGCCGCAGAGCACCAACCAAGGCCCTGACGTCGACAGGTCTGGTCGTGAGGCTGGGACACCCGTGGGTGGCTCTACGGCAGCAATCGAGCCGCCCATCAATCCTGCGCGTGCAGCCTTGTTTCAGAACGACACCCCCTCCCGTACCGAGCGACCCGATCGTGAACGATCTCGAGCGCGGGACGGTGAACAAAGAGGAGCGCAGCGTCATCAAGGGCCGGAAGGGCCGGAGCATGATCGTTCAGAAATCATGAACCTTGAGCGACCCGTTCTGTTCGGCGATGGGCGACAGGAGCCATTGCCCCGACAACCGCGCGACGATCCTCGTGAACGAGATCGTGCACCGCGAAAAGACTCACCTGCACGAGGTGGCCGTGTCCACCCCGACCGACTTTCCTCAGATCCCTTCAGAGACGCGGTCCGGGAGGAGCAGTTCGGCCGCCCTACTCATCCTACAGATGCCCGGAACCCTAGGAACCCACGGGAACCCAGAGACCCCAGAGACCCCAGAGACCCCAGAGACCCCAGAGACCCCAGGGATCACAGAACGGACGATTCCAGAGCTTCGTTCCAAAGAGGCCCTGAGAGGGACAGTGCATTTAGTGGCTCAGACAGCAACACCACGCGGGATGCCTTCCTTTCCAGGGCCGAACGCGACAATGGGCGGCCCAAGCAAGACGACCAATACGGACGCCTCAACAGCAACTATCCGATTGCCTCAGTCGTTGATGCCCCTTCAGGCCCTAGAGGGCGAGGCGCACGACCGAACCCGAGGAACAACTTCAACACACCGCCTCCACCACCGCCCCGCGGTGATGGTCGCCTTCCTCGTACCGGTAGCCCCGGCGCATCCACTACTGATGATCGACACCCTCCGGCGGGACCGTCGTCAGGCCGAGGACATCGCAGTCAGAATGCCTCGGGTTCTACACCCAACTCGAATGCGGGTGACACCGTCAGAGCGGTCATGGCAGGGGCCTGTCGACACTCCGGTCTCCTCGTCTCGACCCTCTGACAGTGCCACAGTTGCTCCCGGCGTGCATCCTGATCGTTTGGCACAGATGGGTCCACCGCCACCTGTGTCCGTTGGGGACGCTCATTTACGTCAACCCACAAGCACCCCAGATCGGCCGCTGCCTTTGGGTCAAGGATCCCATCATATCCCTTCTGGGAACTTCAACGGGCCGACCCCTGACTTTGCAACTCCCACCGGGCCCGCCTCAGGAGGTGGCCGAAAGCAGGGTGGAAGAAGACAGCTTGAGGGTATCAACAGCACACTGCAACAGGCTCAAGGCAGACCTGACCCTATCAAGGGTACGACCATCCGAGGCAGGAGCAGTCGGACTAATCTAGCCAACTCGGATGCTCAGATTCTGACGGGAGGGTCGCCGGTGTCGACGCCAGCCCACGAAGAGTACCAGGATTCTCTTCAGTCGTCTGACAAGAGGCCCTATGAGGGCGACGATCATGGCCGGGGGGAGCACGAGCGCGGTCGTAGGGAGCGCGATCGCTCTGAACGATCTGGTCGACCATCTAGGAGAAGCAGCAGAGAGCGTCAGCGTAGCCCTGGAGGCCACGAGCGGGAGGGCAAGGACAGTCGCTCACACCGGGACCGACGTTCGGGCGCTGCAGGCCATGGCTCGTCCTCTCGAGACGAGCATGAGCCCAGACGTTCTACGCGTGATCCGAGTGGCGGCCACCCCCGAGAGTCGCAGACAGGCGCGCTGCCTCCGAACAATAGGGACGGCGCCCCCCGCGATTCTCGTCATCGAGGCGATCGGGGTGATATGGGACCAGGAGGTCTCGTGGCGGAGGAGTGGAACGGGAGTGCCTCAAGGCACCAACGGAGCGGACAGAGAGACTCTGTGCTCAGACCGCCGGACGATCGTCGCGACCCGCGGGACAACAGCAGGAAACGGAGGAGTGAGGACGCGAACGGGTTCTCAGTGGAAAAGAGGCAGAGGCGTTAGGAACTGCCTCAAGTCCAGCACTACCGAAATCATCACTATTAGGTGCTTCGATATTGGACGGTGCTACATCTCGACGGTGGCCGGTGGCCGGCAGCCGAGGCGGCGTGCAAGGACGGAACCGGACGCTCGGTGCTAGATCGTCAGCGCTGGAGCGGACCGAAGGACGGAGTGGTCGCGTCAACGAAACGGAAAGAAATTGCTACCAGTACCTATTTTACTTTGTTCAGTCGCAGGCCCCGAGGCCCCGGATTTCACGACAGGTCTCGAGGGGTTGATTCAACCATACATGCTTTCGCCGAGCGGAGGCGGGCGACGACTCCAGTCGTTTTTGTCACACTATTATTCAGCGAAATTCAGTCTCCTCTTTATGGAATCACTTCAAGATACCCTACTCAGCAACGTTTTTATGATATGACTAGAAGTGGCAGGCAAAGGCAGGCAGGCAGAGCAAGGGGTGGCGATGACTTGCTGGGTTGATGGACCGCTTGCTGCCTGGAAAAAGAGGTGTTGTGAGGTTGGACGCTGTACCATTACCATGTACGATGTGTACCACCATGGCATTGCTTGCCGTCATGGCATGAAAAAGGATGAAGGGGAAGGAAGTGGTGAGATGGAGGGTTCACGTGAAGATGTAACACAACAGGGTCATAGAGAGAATGGAAAGGGTGTGACGTACACTACACCGATGGAACGGTTGACTGCTGCTGTCGCGGGGAGTTGCGAGCAGGCTGTGTTCTTTTTCATGGACGTGATCGTGGAGAGGCCTTGACGATGACCGCAAGTATGTCCCTCGGGATGCGATGCGGCCCATCAGGGAAGTCATTCCAAATGCTCGTTGCGTCACGTGGATGTCTACAGGCGATGCCGCGATTACGCGACGCCGCGCCTCCAAGCGAGACCTTCACGGGACGCGTCTTGAGATACGCGTAACGTTGGTCGAGAGGACTAGGCAGGCAGTAGGCTGTTGGGATTGAGTACATTTACACATGGGACATTTGGCAACGCTGTGTACACGATGCATCGTGGCTGGAATCATCAGTGAGTGAGCAGGCCTGAGGGACATCCCAGCTAGCACAACGCGAAGTTGAAAGTAAAGGTCAACAGACATGTCCGGCCGGCCATGACAGCAGCCAACATTCGCACGTCTGCAGCCCAAACGCCACCTCTGTGTAAGGTACATCGAGAAAGGAGATCTAGGTAAGGAAAAACCCCGCAACGCCAGCACATGCACGCTCATGACCAAATCCCCCTTCATCACAACAAGCAATCGATCGCCGGCCCCCCCCCCCCCGAGCCTCACTCAATCTGGCTGCCACGCACGCTGCGCCCGGAATGTCACGCCCGCACGTGCTGCGCGGCCAATGATGACCAAAAAAACCCACCACATCAAGCGACGGAACCAGACACGCCCCTCAGCGTCCCTTCGAGATCCCCGGTCCTCAAACAGCCTGAAGTCAGCCAAGGCACGGAATCACGGCAAACAAAGATCTTCAATCGCGATCGCGAGATGCGGAAAGAGGACCTTCCCGCTGCCTGCCGCCCATTCTGCACGCCCCCTGATGATCACGACGAGCCTCATTCGCATGAAACAGCCACATGCGTAATAAAGAACGCACGTCTCCCGAAAGCCGCCCATTTCGAATCCGTCGGGGACCAACAAAAATTTTGTACGAGTCGTACTCTCTCTCTCTCTCTAACAACGAAGTGCAGCGCTAATGGCCATGGTAAAGATCGGCGCGCCCCAGGCTGCGAGTCGATCCTCATCTCTGGGCAAACGAACCCATGTGGGTACGTACCCTGTTTTCTCTCCTGGCTTTCGCGCGTGCACGCCTCAATGTGAAAAACACGGCTGGAAAAAGACGGGTACATGATGAAATAGCAGTGGACCCGAACCCAACCGATGAGTTGGGGTCACCTCGTCTTCAATCTGGCGTTTCCGATGGTATGCATGGTGATGATATGTGTGGCAGGCTTGATGTCAACTCCCGTCACCAACCAATTCAGCCTGGAGAGCTCACGTTTTGCGACGTTCTAGAAAGCGGGAGCGGTGGGGCCAGCAGCGTCAGATTGATGAAAAGTGACTGCGGATATGCGGTCTCTTCCAACCAACGTAGGAATCTAATCGACGGCAGGCACAGACGGGTGTGTCTCTAGAGGTCAAAATCGAGACCGCGGGCCGCGAGCCCCTTGTTCCGCGCCAGCACGGCATCGACGAGGGCACGGCCGGGGAAGTCGATGATGACGACGCCAGTGCGGCCGCCGGTGCCGGTTTCGCTGCCGCGATCGAGCCAACGGCCCGTCTGGTCGTTGATGCCCTCGACGGAGCCATTGATGCCGCCAGCGGCGGCCTGAATGGGCAGCACGCCGACGGTGGCGCTGAGGTGGGCGAGGTAGAGGGCGGCGTTGACGTCGTTGGCCGGATCGGCAGCGCTGGTGAGGGCGTGCTCGACGGCGTCCCACTTCATGTACAGGTGCTCGAGGCTCGGGATGATCCAGAGGTCCTCGAGGATCATGTCCTTGGACCCCCAGACGAGACCGTGGGGCCCGGACTGGGGCGCGGCAAAGTTCTGCAGCAGAAGGATGCCGGAGCGCAGGGTGCCGAGCGTGGGCAGCGGCCAGAAGGCCTTGGCCTGGGGGGCGTAGAAGCGGTGCTTCTGGCCTTCGGCTTCGATGTGCTGGAGGAAGGCCTGCTCGAACGTGATCGTGTTGGTGCCGTGCGGACGGCCTTCTTCCTTGAGGCGCATGATGATGGCCTCGCTCGGGAAAGCATCGAGGAAGGCGGACACGGTGGTGAGGACGTCGACGAAGGAGTAGCCGGTGAACATCTCGGCGTGGTAGATCTGAATAGCATCGTCGACTAGACGGCCGCGAACGTCGAGGTAGCGCATGCCAGCCCGCAGCTGCGCCGACAGGTTGTTGTTCTGACATTGGAAGAGCTCATCGCGAATGTCAAAGGTGAGAGTGTCGTGCGTGCCCGGTATGGAAAGACTCGTGATATTGGCGTCATCAGGGATAGCCTTCATCCAGTCTGGGTGTAGGGCCTCGTCGACGTCAAAAGAGTATTCGGAGAGATAACCGCGGTAGCAGTTGTCCTTGCTGTAGACAAAGGCGCATGGTGAGAGCGAGATGAGATCGGAAAATGTATAGAGCAGCAGGAGAATGCCAGAGAAGGTGTAGAAGATGGCCCAGAGGAAGCGCCGTGACCTGGGTAGAGCCATGGCAGAGGGCAGCACTGTTTACCAAACGGTGTATGACCGTGGTTGAAGAGGAACTGCCGGTCTGCGATGAGTTTTGTGGCAGCAGCGGTTGGTGTAGGCAGCAGTTTGAGTGGAAGAGGGACGCAGCGCTGCTTTTCAGGTTCAGGCACGCCACCTAAAACGCTCGAAAGATGCAGCAACAGCGGCGAATGGACGTGACAGGCTTTGCACAAAAACAAAAAGACAGGATATGATACAATGCTGTAGAAACAACGAGTGCCGACTGTTCCTCCCGATTCAAGTGGTATCAAGTCGAAAGGCCCTCTGAGATGGCGATGCAGTGGCTGGTGTATTGAATGTCGTCGCTCAGATGTTGATTGACCTGCACCCGGTTCAGCCGACCCAGTTGGTTGACGGTGGCAGGTGACATGGATGGAGACCCCACAGCCAGTGACCAGTGCACGGGGTTCGCTCCTTTCCTTCGAGGCCCTCTGACTGGACGGTCGCGTCATTGGCAAAACGCAGAAAGGTTGATCCGAACCATGCCTGTCGCCGATGCGTGCACAATGCGCAATGCACAATGCACAATGCACACCCTGAAGAAGCCGTTCCGGCCTCGGCCCCGCCGCCCCCTGTAACCACCTGCTGACTGCTGCAGGCGGACGTCGGCGGGCGGGTGCCCTGACATCACTGGCTCCAGCGCCCTCTGGCCCCCCCCCGGGAAGTTCCCAATTTCGGGATATTGGCTTCGGGGCCATCGCCGGCCGGCGACCTGGGCATCCGGGGTCAGATTGACGGTGCCATTCGATGTCACGATATTCGACTCACGACGTCGACGGAATGCTTGACGAGATTTTTGTCTTGTTACTCAATGGGTTCTGGTCCATGGATTTCTTCATGTTTTTTTTTTTTATTTTTCTTTTCCCGCACGACGTACTCAAGCCTGACTGACTCTGCTCGCTCGCGGAATCCCCCCACAGTTGGCGTCTCGCCCGTCGCCAGAAAGCCCACTCGACACCACACACCCACGCGCCACGCCAAACAGTCGACGGCAGTTGACGACAGTCAGAACGAGGCGTCCTCAAGGTCTCCCACATTCCCGATCCGAGGCCCAGATCTAACCCCCAATCTGTTGGGGGACGCGAACCGCCCACCGCGTTCCAAACCAATCCTGGAGCTAGAGAACTATGCAGCAAGCGTAGGATTAGCAAGCTCCAGCCTGTTACACCCACCCAGCGACGAAAGATCACCAGTTCGTACTCTTGGTTCAGTAGGCGGCATACATGTACCACCCTCCCTCTCTGACACGATGGAGCACGGCCTCCACGCAACGCCCAGCGCAAGAAGCTCTCCGGTTTCAGAACACTGGTGTCATCCGCACGGCTCTCGCGTGCCGGTCTATCGTCGATCGCTGTTCGGTGGCCGTTGCCAGAGCCGGATTGGTCTGGACAAGTTCGACAGCGGAAGTTATCACGCTTGGTGATCTGCCGTTGCCATCGTGTCAGAGCTCAGCCGTCAAAAGCGGGTGACAGCGTTCGCTGCCTTGATTCGAGAGTCTGAATGGCAATTCCTTTGGGCGGTGGCTGCGGTTGTGAAGATGCTGTGCTTCGCAGCGTGCAGCCGACACCATGACAGCTTGTCGTGTGTTGTGGGGAAAGCTGGGCCCTGACACATGGTGGCACGAGAAGCGTCGTGATCACCAGCAATGTTGACCTCTGGGCGCTGAGCCGAGGTCTGCTCCAGGAAATCACACACTGATGCGCTGCCCAACGTTTTCAACGTGACAAGAGTGCGGGGAAAGGG